GGGCAGTTCAGGGGGTTGTTGGAGCTCAGGACAGGCAGCGCAGACCCATCCCGTTTCCCATCAGTGGAGTACCCGTGCAACTCTGCAAAGAACTGGGTTGCTGTGCAACAGCCTGGCTGTGTGCACGTGCCTGCGGTAGGGCTTTTACACAAATATTTGTGACCTTAAAAAAGGATCAGCAGCTTATTTGGGTGGTGTGAGGGTGGGACGCATTAAACACTCTTAGACAAGGGGATGTAGTTTGACTCCAGACTCAATAAAGCCATGAGCAATCTGGGCAGACCCTGCTTGGAGGCGGATGTTACCGGATACTGGAGATCTCCTGAGGTACCTTCCAGCGTGAACTGTCCTGTGCAGGGTGATACTGTGGCAATCGTGGGGCCAGCGGGACCTCTGCTTGCAGGGTGTATTAAGCAGCAGTTCTTTTGGGTGCAATAGTTGCTGGATTGGCTGAAAAAGACTGATGAAAAATGAGCACTGCTGCTCCCCAGAACAGGAGCTGGGTGCACAGACTGATTCCATCGCCTGCCGTAGGGCTTGGCTGTGGTGGGGCTGCTCGGGCACGGCCCCGACAGCAGCCCTGCATCCTGTGAGCAGCAGGGCTGCGTGCGGGTGTTCTTCCTCGCTCGGAAGACCGTCTGTCCTGAGGAAGCGCAGCCAGCTTGGACAAGCTTGTTGTGAGGATCATCCTGCTCGAAAAGGTGTGGCTTGAAACCAGAGTGGGTTTTCTGACTTCTTTGCCCGTGGATATCAGCGTGGCTCACTCCTTTACCTCACTTTTCCATTTAAAATGAGTCGGGGTGGCAGGTTTGTAATAGCTTCATCGTTCCTGATCCCACAGACAGTGTGTTGGCAGCAGCAGGAGGCGAAGGGCAGCGCTTTGGGGCATCTCGCTGTCTTGGAGCCGAGACACAGGAGTCCCTCAGGTCTTCGCTCCACCATGTGTGGGTGTCATCTCCCCTGCTCAGCCCCTCCAGAAGATCCTTCTGCTGCTGGCTCGTGTTGCAAAGTGGTTTCTGTTTGCGTTCCAGCACTTTGTTGTTCAGTCCTCTGTTTATCCCTGTGGCATCCTGCCACCGTGGTCCCCTGCATTGCCTCCTCTCCCTTTGTGGGGGAGGGAGGTGGCCCAAGAGCCTCCTGCTTCTTCTGGACCCCCCACTGGCTTCGCAAGGTGCTGGCCTGTGCCGAGGCAATCGCATTCCCATGCCTGCGGTAGCCTGGGTGATGGTGCTGGCCGTGTTTCGGCTTGCCCTTGCTGGCACGAGCCCATGGCCAGTGACTGGGTGGCTGGCACCGATGCAGGAGCGAGCCTCCAGAGGTCGGCCTCGGACCATGGCGTCCCGTCTGGCGGGTGGGCTGGGGGGCCTGGGGAGGACTTGCTTCTCCTCTGGTCTTTGTTATGTTTGGCTGGTGTTGCTAGCAGCAACGGCAGAGTCAAGAAATACATGTATTCGGACACAACGGGCTGTGAAGCTGCTGCTTCCCCCAAACCCTGCCAGATTTGAGGTTTGCATCTGTAAGAAAAGCTTTTTCAGTTTGGCTTTAGATGTCAGGTAACATCCCAGCTGTCCTGATTTAGAGGACATTGGGCATTTGAAGAACTTTTGTTTTCTAAGAGTGCTATTACCTTTTTTTTTTCCCAGCTTCAAAAATCCACCTTCTTAGGCTCAAGATGGCTATAAAACATTGGCCAAGTAGAAACGTGGAGTGTTTAATGTAGATTTCTAAAATCTTCTGAAGTCTTCTCTTTCTGCGCTCCTGTGAGGGTGGGGAAAGGGGAGCCTTGGAGCAGCCGCTGTGAGCAGAGCAGGACCCTCCCTCCCGCCCTGTGCCGCGCAGAGCTGGCGGCTCTGCTGATGGAGCCGGCGCTTGCCGCTTGGTCTGCGTGAGCCTGTTGGGAATGGACCCCCGGAGCTGGTGGGGGAAGAGCAGTGCTTCTCCGGCTGCGACCAAAGCATGTCCTCTTCCGGGGAGGTGGTCCCTGAGGCAGGCAGGAGGTGAGCTCAGCGTCCGGCGGGGAGCTGAGGGGCTGAGCTGGGACATTTGGCACCACCGAGTCTCGGAGGGCAGCCCTGTGAGTCCCGGCTGGCCGTGAGCACTTCTGCTGCCTTTCAGCTTTATCTTACCCAAACGGCGAGGCTTCTGGGACTTCTGATCCAGCCGGCGCTGGATGTCATGCTCCAGATGTCTGTGTGTCCATCCTGCCGGCGCTGGCCGCAGCCACGCACAGACAGGCTGGATCCGTGCGGAATGCTGCCTGCAGCTCACAGAAACCTCTGCCGAGCTAGGCAGGACTGGGAGGAAGGGCTCTGCTGCAGCCTGGCCCTGCTCTGTACTGATCTTCTCTCTCTCCTGCTGTCCTCCATCCTGTTTCTGGGAGTGCTGAGGCAGAAGAGTTGCTTCGTTTCATTGTCCCTGTAATCTGGGAAGGAAAGCCTTCGCAAGCTGAGGAAGGGGACTTGGCTGCAGATAGCAACAGTGCTGACTAGTTGGTTTAAAGCCTGTCTAGCTGTTTTCACTGTCCTCTCCAGAGAAGCCCAAACCTCAGCCTTGTCCCCTCTGTGGAGCGCTAACCTGCCTCGTGTGTGGTGTGGAGACAGGCTTTGTTGGGCACTGCTGTCACCTGCTTGGGGACGGTTATTTCCAGTGTTAAATTAGCATCCTGTATCCCTGCGGCTTCCGGGATTTAACTTCCCCTATGCCATTCACTGCTTCAAATACAGCTCCTGAACAGACTTGGAAGTCCGTGGGAGCTGCATCTGATGCAAAGGAGAGCTACGGTCATCCTGTAAGGATCCTCCCTCCGAACATAATGTTTTCTGGAAGTACCTGTGCGGGCTCGAAGCAGCGTTAAGAGCATCCTGCGCGCTCTTGCTGAGCAGCAGCTGGGTGATCCAGGCTGAGGTTTCTCGAAACTGCTTAGCGCAGGGAGAGGCTGGGGCTTGGGCTGCTGGCGGAGCTTATCTTCTGGCAAACGTATGCACGTCACCCAGGAGCTGAAGAAACGGATTTTGAAGATGAATTGCTAAACCTGTAAATCATTTTGTAGCTCCTGACTGGAACCATCCCATTAGAAGCTTAATGTATCCTATAGATTAGCAGCAGTGATAGGTGCTAAAGGAATTAATTCGTGGTGCTGCAAGGAGCCTTGCAACTTGCTGATCCAGCACTGGGGAAGAGTAAAGGGCTTAATTAGCAAAAGTGCCTTTTAAATGGAAATAAATTTGATGGGAAGTGAGCTGCTTCATTGAAAAAATAAATCCTCAGGCCCTGGGATTCAGCCATGTTGCTTGTGGAGAAAAATTGATTTGTGTTGGCTCCCGGTTCCAGCCCAGGCCTCCCTATGCTCTGTGGGGAGCTGGCTGCATCTGAGTAGCCAAATCCCTGTGCCCCTCTGCAGAGCAGATGATGCCTCTGCGCCTGCGTGCACTGTAATGATGAAGAATTTTACCCAGAGCTCTCGTCTGGTCCTGCTTTTCCACAGGGGCATGAGCCGTGCCTGTAGAGACCCCTTAGTGACTGGGGGCGTGAGCCGTGCCTGGCAGTAGAGACCCCTTAGTGACTGGGGGCTGGCTGGTGGCTCTCTTGGCTTGCCCCCGTATTGCTCCCCCGTGTTTTTACCCCTTATCCCACTCTAGTTTCTAATTGTCTTGCTCTGACAATTCTCTGTGTGTTTGTCTGGGCCTCTAACACGAGGCTCGAGTCCCTTGTGTTCTCTGTAGCGTATTTTGATAGATTGAAGTCTTGCTCCCGCTGTGCCATAAACCCTTGGAGCCTTGGCGCTCTGGGGCCATGATCAAAGCCTTCGGAACAGCGATATCCAGGGCCGTAGGCGCCAAGTGAATGTAGATGGATCCTCCTGGGATCTTTTTTCCCCTCTCTCAGCAGAGCTGTGGGCGCCTCTCGTCTCCTTCTCGAGTAACGCTGGTGCTGTCTGCCCTGCTTTTCTTCAGGTGCGCAATGGCCACATCAAGCGAATCACCGACAATGACATTCAGTCGCTGGTGCTGGAGATCGAAGGAACTAATGTCAGGTAGGAGAAGGCATCTTCTGCCCTGGTGTGCTCTGGGGGCTCGGCCCTGGAGCAGACGGAAAGATGTTGGTGCCCAGCAGACATCTCCTTCAGCCTCTGCTGCAATCTCTTTGTCAATAAACCAAAGAACATGATCGGGGGTGAGATCACTGACACCCCTCTGTGGCACCAGACCGTGCTTTTCCCTGGACGTGCTCCTAGAGCTTGCTGGCATCTTCAGTGGGGCTAAGGGATGAAAAATAAAAATAAAGTCGTGTTATTTTTCCATCACTTCAGGGGGAAAAAGGGTGTATTGGATACCCGGTCCCCAGGCAGTGCCGCCCGTTACTGAGAAAGCAGCGCTCTGTCTTCTGCATCTTCTATTGTCTTAGGCCTGCTCTGCTGCTCTCCCCACGTGACAGCTGCTCTCCCGACAGCAGGGAGATCAAAGGGAGATTTATGAGGGGAATTGCTTTTGGTGCTTCACTTAGCAACCTTGTCTCCATCAAGCGGGGAGAGAGATGCCAGCTCCGTGAGTGGGTTCCGAATCTCCAAGGCTTCTCCAGGGGTGAATCAGAGCAGGGCGCTCCTTATAAGGGCAGCGGAGACTCCTCTCCTGCAGACGGGCTGAGCCAATGCTTCTCTTCCTCCCAAGATGTGTTGACACAGAGCTTGCCAGGCGTTACGTGTACTTCTAGGGCTCACGACCTCCGTTTTCAGCCATGCAGAGCACACAGGGCCTCTGCTATGCTCTGGAGGGCACTACCTGTTCAGCCGAGGGTAGGAGGAGGTGGTGTGGAGAAACAGCCTTGAAACTGGGGAGGTGAAGCTGTCCAGGGAGGTGTTTTATGCTCTGGGTGAGAAAAGTGGGATTCAAAATGCATTCTTTGGGCCTTTTATCCTGTTCTCTGTGCAGCTACCTCTGAAACTCTGCCTCCTCTTACAGGAAGCCCTGGTTGTTGCTGAGATCTTACAATAACAGCTGTTTTTTTCTGCCTGTCCTCCAAGACTGTGTTAGGTCAAGGGACTCTGGCTGTGCGCTTTGTGCCATGGGGGATCCTAAAGCGTTTTTCTGTCCCTCTCAGTACCACGTACATCACGTGCCCTGCTGACCCAAAGAAGACCCTGGGCATCAAACTCCCTTTCCTAGTGATGATCATCAAGAACCTGAAGAAATACTTCACTTTTGAAGTGCAGGTGAGGAGCGTGCAGCGGGGAGCTCCGGGGATAGGTCAGGAAGGTGCCAGGGAGTCCACAGTTCCAGTTTTGAACGTGTCCCGGGTAGCAAGTGGTCCCCAGAAAACCCCCAGCTTTTCTGCTGTGGGGACATCAGTCAGCTCGCAAGCACATCACTGCCGTTCCTCAAGATGGGTCTGTTCCCTGTATTAAAAATACTTTTGCTGGGAGATGGAGGGGCGGGAGGAGGAGAGCCCTCTTGGAGACGGGTAGAACCTGAGTCTAGAACAGCAGCCGTCTTGGGAACGGGGTCCCTAATGTCAGGGTCAGCAGCCTGCCTTCCCGCCTTGCCCAGGTGCTGGATGATAAGAACGTGCGCCGGCGTTTCCGGGCCAGTAACTACCAGAGCACGACACGGGTGAAGCCCTTCATCTGCACCATGCCCATGCGGCTGGACGACGGCTGGAACCAAATCCAGTTCAACCTGTCGGACTTCACGCGCCGGGCGTACGGGACAAATTACATGGAGACCCTCAGAGTTCAGGTGAGAAGCAGGCATGTTTCTCATGGTGGAGCCCATTTCCACCTTGTTTCTCTTGCTGGCTCTCAGTTAGGGTAAGAATTACAGTCCACCTAGAGTTCCCTGTGGCGTGCCATGCCTCCTGGGTCTGCTGGGAATTAGCTGTGTGCTGCCTTGCTCTCCAGCTGTACTAGACAGTGGCCGGATGCGTGGAAGCCTGGCTGGTGAAGACCCAGGGTGATACGGTCCATACATATCCCTGGTCGAGCTTGTTTCCTAGTGCTGGTAGAGCGACCCTGCCTTCATCGAGCCCCTCGGACCAGAGCGGGCATGGTATTTATTCCTGCGACATAAAACTTGTTCCATGTGCTAGGGATTCACGTTAGCTGTGTCCAGTGGCATGCGTTACTCTGAGGAATGCCTGTGTGCGGAGCATGCCTGTTCGTTAGCGTGATGGGGTTGCCCGGAGATGAGCAGGCAGTCAGTTGGGAAATGTCTGCCTTCTCACAGACCCTGCAGCTGATAGCAGAGGCAGCAAGGCTGGACAGCCTCATTCCTGACCTCAGGGAGGCCCTGGAGAGGGAGCATTAAAAACGTAGCAAGCTGTGGCTGAGTGTTCTGGTAAGTGCTGATACCAGTGGAGAAGCAGAGGTGGGTTCACAGCAAATGACTCCCAAAGCAACTAGGGCAGATCTGAGTTTGCAGAGATGCCAGAACTTGGCCAAATCCCTTAAGCCAGCTTGCCTCGCTGGACAGAGCATCTAACGCAAAGCAGAGAGCACGGGCCAACGTTTCTCCTCTCATGTCCTGTCACGTTCGGTGAGAGACAGTGAAGTCTCTTCTCTAGCTGCTGAGCCAAGGAATCCAGGCTGCTGTGTGACAGCAAAGCTGGATGTGGAAAGAGCATATAGAAAATGGACTGACTCTTTGTTTTGACTCTCAGATTCACGCTAACTGTCGCATCCGACGGGTGTACTTCTCTGACCGGCTCTACTCGGAGGATGAACTCCCAGCTGAGTTCAAGCTGTACCTTCCTGTCCAGAACAAGGCCAAGGTGAGCTGGCTGTGGGCAAGGAGGGTGGGAGCTGCAGCTGGGCCAGGCTAGCATTCTTCTTCCTCCCACTGCCTTCACAATCCAGAGTTTCTTCTAGCTCATCCCAGCTTTGGCCGTCAGCCGGGGAGCACCCTCGCTGCTGCCTGGGATCTGTCAGGGGTGCTGTGCTGAGTGGCTTTCCTGGCAAAACACATGGAAGTTCTCATTCCCATCTAGAGGCAGGCTGAGCTGTGCTGCTGCTTCCCAGGTCCTTCCTGTTCCCGTGGAAGGGCTCTGGGCAGGGTGGCAGCCTCCCAGCACCTCTGGAGCTTTCACCCGTGACTTTCACAGCGGCTTTGCTCTTTAGAGTTTGCTCTGTGGAGCTGCAGCTCCACACTTCTCTTCTAGGAGAGATGCTGTTCGTGTCCCTCTAGCCCAGATTTACTCCCTGCTGATCTCTTCCCTGCCTGGTGCAGATGGTAGTGGTAGGGGGTAGGAAGGGAATAGAAGGTTGTGGCTGCCCAGCAGGAGATGCCAAGCCCTGCTCTTACGGTAATAGGAGCCGAGTCCCTGCCCTATTGGCAGAATTCTGAGGATCGTGAGGAAGCACCTTCTTTGCCAGGGCCAGCCTGTCCCAGTGCAGATGCTGCTTTTAGCAGGGAAGGAAGATTCCTGGGCAAAATCTCAAGGAGCTGAGGGAGGATGTTGGGTGTGGATCTTAGTGGGAGGTAGAAGGCAGTGTTAGCAGGAGGTAACACCTCTGGGGAACCTGTCACTGTCTTTGGGCTGTAGTAGCCTCTCGGAGTGTCTGGGGAATGGTTGGAGCTTTCTTGGTGTGGTTGCTTTGGTGCTGCCGAGTCTAATAAGTGTCTCCTTTCTTCTCCCTGTTCTATCCAGCAATAACACCATGTTGGGAAGAGATGCCAGAAACATTTTAGAAGAGAAGGCCCTGCTGAGACCAAGTTTTAGATTAGCTCACCTTGCCTAGGATCACTTTGATTCACCCGGTATCCCTCTTCCGGACAGGACACAGTTAACCACGTAACAGGTTTGGGACTGTGGTGTTGGTGTGCAAGTCGTGTAGAATCAGAGTTTTCCTAGCTGTTCCTAACGAGCTGAGCCTAAACACTGCGAGTGGCCTGGGACCCGATCTTGTGTTGCACAGGGGGGTTGCTCAAAGTGACCGCTGTGTCCCCAAAGAGGGGGTTCAAAAAAAGAAGATACCAATTTTATTTTTTCTTTCCTTGTTTTCCGTCTCTTATTTTATATATGCTCTAAATATGGATGTAATACTCCCTCTTGGAATGTTATTAAACATTTGACTCTGTAAGTCGGCTCATGGCTTCTTCCTCCTTTGACAGTTCCTTTAACTTGTACGTGTTAGTACTTCAGAAGGTCCCCCAGAATTTCTTTAGGGAAGATACCAATTTTATTTTTTCTTTCCTTGTTTTCCGTCTCTTATTTTATATATGCTCTAAATATGGATGTAATACTCCCTCTTGGAATGTTATTAAACATTTGACTCTGTAAGTCGGCTCATGGCTTCTTCCTCCTTTGACAGTTCCTTTAACTTGTACGTGTTAGTACTTCAGAAGGTCCCCCAGAATTTCTTTAGGAACCCAGATGTTAGGATTTGCCTCTGAATTTGACTTTTCTTGGCAGCCTCACATCTAAGGGGTAGCACAGATGTGAACAGCAGCAATCTGGAGAGAGGAAAAATAGTAAGGTTTCGAGTCAGGATCTGTGTCCAGCCCATGAGGTTTGTGCTACGCTACCTATGACAAAAACTCCTGCTGTTCGCTTGGAGTACATGGCATTGGGTTTTTCATTCCCTTCTTACTTGAAGCCATTTTCCCAGCAGTGACAAATTGGCCTTACCTGCCTGCTAGGGCACAGCTCTGTTCACTCTATAGTTACACAACTCGCTGCTAAAGGCTTGGTCGAGAGCTACTTATAGCAAGAGGCACACAATAGTCTTCCAGCTGCCAAATTGTCCCTTTCCCCAGGGATCAAAGGGGAGGTTTAGCAAAGCAGCCTAACAGGAGCGGAAGTCTTTTCCTGTGCTGAAGCTGCCCTTCCCTGCCTCAAACCAATCTGCCTCTGTTGGGGAAAGGCTTGTGGAGGGGAGGCCGCCAGTAACAGAGAGAGTAGCTGGTGCCTTTCCTCCCTGGGCCCAAGCCCCCCACGGCTACTCCAGAGGGTGGGTACCACCCCACAGTGAACTGGGAAGACTTCGCTTTCATTACTGACCTGTGAAACACAAAGCTGGGCTCTCCCCAGAAGACAAGAGCCTACTGGGGGACGTCTTCCCGCTCATTCCGGGTTTAATCCTGACGGCTGCCTCCCCACCTGGCTGAGGGTTTGGGACGTCTGGGCACCCGCAGGGCTGCAGCTCCTCGGTAGGACCCCAGCTCTCGGGACACCCGTAATGCAGTTGCCTCGTTTGCCCCTTTAAGCTGGTGGTGCTGAGCCCGGTGCTGGATGGCGCTTGCAGGAGGCTTTCCGGAGAAGATCTTCCAGTTTTTGTAGCAGCTGAGTAGCTTGGTAGGTCTCAGGAGCCGAGCCAAGGAAGCCCACAGGGGAAAGCACCATCCGTCTTCCTTTGACATCTGTCAGGGCTTGGCTGGACTCGGGATTTGTGAAGTGGAATCGCGCTGTGCTGTGTGCCAAGGAGCGGCCTTAATGAAGTCCGTGGCGAGGCTTTCCCGCCACGTCTACAAAGCTTGCCAGGGCCGGGGAGCTGTGGAGGGGATCCGTCGGACCCCGGCAGGGTAAAGCGTGCACCCTGGCCCACCAGCCCTCACTCGTGACTGTGTTTTTGGCATCGGTGGTGGCCGAGCGCCCACCGCGAGCTGCTGCCGCCTTTCCCTGCCCTGCTGGAGCCCACGCTGGAGTCGGCCCTTGTCCTCGGCATCGGGCCTGCTGTGAGTGAGTGACCTTAATGCGTTACGAGGGGCTGGGCTCCCCCGGGCCTCGAGCTGGCTGCCTCTGTGGAGAGATTAGATGGGCTCTGCTGCCAATTCCAGCCCGACCTCTAGGAGCTGTGCCAACGGATTTGCTGGAATAAACTCCCAGCCGCAAACCCTTACATCCACGTGGACCCTCTGTGTATTTTCTAATGTGAAACAAAATACCGAACCTTCCTGTTTATGTGCCACACAACGTGGTGCATCATCAGATCCTGGCTCTTCCCCTTAGGGCCAGACAGTGGTGGATTTACAGAGTGTTCTTCAAAAATCCTCTTCTAATCCCCCTCTCCTATCAAAACTTTAACCATCTCTCTGAGGGCGAGTGAAGTTCGGATGCTCTCCCTGTGGGAAAATGGGATGCTGCCGGCAGACAGGCCGAAACCTCAGCAGTTGTTTCCTAGAGTAAATGTGCGCCAGCGAAACCCCTGCGGTGACGCGCCCAGCTTCTCACTGCTTCGGTCATGGCTCTTGACCTGCCTGGGACACGGCATCCTCCTACGTGGACAGAGTGGAGGAAG